AGGGGTTTTGGCATTGAGGGTGAAGGCTGGAGCAGCTGCTGTCTGGCAGTGGGCTGACAGCCCGGATCCCAGCAGTCAGTCTGCCCGATCAGGTCATCCCTGTGACTCAGTGCAGCTGCGCACTGGGCATGCAGGACACTGAGTGGCCTGCTTGGTCCTCACCCTAAAGATATTTCCCTTTTAATACAGGACAGGTGCACGGACTCAGACCCGGCAGGGAGCACAGCATGGTGTGGAGAGAGCTGGATGGCGGGGTGACTTGATGCCCCAAGGATGTGGCATGGCTGGGTGGTGTGGACCCAGAGGTACCTCGGTATTGCTTCAGGCTCTGCTGTTTTCTAGTGAGGCTGGGACCAGGAGTCACACCCCTCAAGGGTGACTATGTGGCAGCCAGAGGGCAGGGGGTAAGTGGCCCTGGTCAGGGACTTCCTTCCTGCCCTGTCCCTGAAGCCATTGTCTAAGGTGCGGCACCTGATCTGTGACCTTGACGCTGGAGTTCACATTCACATTCATGGGTGTCAGAGGCTCTGGGAACACCCAGGGGACCAGTGCCAGGCCCAGGAGGCGAACAGTTTCCCAGCTGCCCCAAGACTGTGACCTCTGAGGAACAGTGTAGATCTGACTCTGCGTTTCTTTGGGGTTTTCTTAATGCTTCCCATTTGGTTTTGGACAATGAGCTTCTAAAATTGGTGTGAGCGTCTGTCCACACCAGCCCGTCTGTCCAGGCTCACCTGTGCCTTGGTAGTTTCTGGCAGTCGCCTAGTGTTTGGCCCAAGACTGTGTCTGAAGAGCTAGGCTGAGCTTCCTGGTGGACTGGATGTCCTGCGGCCCTGGGGGAGTCCCCTGGTGTCTGTGGCATTGGTGAAGCCAGCAGTGCTGTGCTGAGAGGCTGTGCGGGGCAGAGCGGCCTGGAGACAAGCACAGAGCACGAGGCCAGAATGAGCAGCTGAGGGCAGAGGAGATGTGGAGGGCATGATGCAGGGTGCTGGGCAGGAAGGCCGCATGGGCTGGGCGCTCCTCTGAGCCTCGGCCCAGCCTGGGAAGGTCCCGCAGGCGCACGGCACCGTGACTTAGGCAATGGCTCCGTGAGGGACCCTGTGTCTCTCAGACCTCTGCCAGCTCGTACGTGGACGCCGGACACATGATGGGAACTGGTCCCTGCCCTGGCAGCCTAACCACAGTGGGAATGACTCATCTCAGGGTGACAGGGCCAGAGGGTGACTGAGCAGCCAGCGCAAGGTGGGCGTGGTTACGCCAGAGAGCAGTGGGAGCAGCTTGGCTCTCCAGGGTAAGAAACCAGCTAAATTCCTACTTGTCCCTAGGTGCAGGAACGCTCTAGCTAGGCGAGCAGAAGTGTACCATGAAGCGTGAGAATCAAGTTATGAGCCCACAGAGTGTAGGGGCTGGGGCTCCCAGAAGAAGGAGCTGGGGCCCTGCCAACGGTTCGCTCTGTCAGTCCTTCCCTAAGGCATGCCGGGCCTTGAGTGCTTATGTGGTTCCCTGTTCCACTGCTGTAACAAAATACCTGGGCCCACGAGCTTTATTCGGCCACAGTTCTGGGGTCCAGAGTGTGGTGCAGCCTCTCCCCACAGGGGCGGCAGCCTGTGGCAGGTGGCACTGTGAAGATGGGTGTGCACAAGGGACTAGCACTCCTGCCCTGTGCCCGGGGCTGTCGTGTGGAAGCTGACTGTCCCCTGAGGTGTGTGCTGTGATGGTCCCATCCCAGGACAGTGCTCCCAGACGTGTTGCTGCCTCTCGCGTGTGGCCCAGGGTAGGGACTACTGGGCACAGTGACGTTGTGTGGCTCCTGTGAGTTTGCCTCTCCACACAAACGTTCCGGTTGGCTTCTGACACTGCATCTTCCCAGACTGTGCTGGCTCCGCAGTTGAGGCTGGAAGGTGCCGTGTTCTGGCCGCAGTGGTCTTCCTTTGCATGGCCAGGGCGCCCCACCTGTTCTGGTCTTTGATTTCATTCATCAGTGTTTCGCAGGATGCCTTGTTGTTAGAGTTGTTCCACAGCGTTTCATTTTGGGGGCACTAACATAAATAGCATTGTGTGTTTAACTTCCATTTCACTTGTTCTTTGCTTTGGATACTAATCTGTATTTTTGCAACCTTGCTATATAATTCCCTGTTCTTAGAGTTTTTTGTTGATTCTTTCGATTGTCTGTGTAGACAGTCAAGTAATTTGTGGCCAGTGTTGTTTTGTGTATACCAGGGATAAATCCATGTGGTAGCCTGTGATTCAATTTGTGCAGCTGGATGTGCTTTGCTGGTCTTCTGTTGAGTGTTTTACATGGGTGTCTTGAGAGACAGGTTTGCAGTTTTCTTGCAGTCTTCGCTTTAGTGTCTTTCTGGCCTCAAAACCAGTTCAGTGCGTCCCTCCGCCTCTGTTCTTAGAAGGCTGGTAGAGTGGGGAGTCACTGTCTTCCGTAGTTTTCTCGGGTGGAACTGTCCGCTCGGCTCCTGCAGTGGATGGTCGTCCTTGTCCCAGGTCATCTGCTTCTGGTGTGAGGGGTGACAGTTCTGTCTCCCAGCAACTCGGCCCATCTCTCCCGGTACCCACAGTGGTGGGCATCGTGTGGTTTAATGTCCTTCAGTGCTCAGATCTGGGCATTGTGACATCCTTTCCTTTGTTTCTGATGCTGCTAATTTCTCCTGTCTTGTGGTTCCCAGTTTTCTGACTGTTGATTATAGTCATCTTTTCAGAGAACCAGCTTTTGAGTTCCTCGATTTTCTCTATTGATTTCCTGTTTCAATTTCACCTCTCTTTACTATTTTCTTTTCTTCCCTTACTTTGGATTTGCTCTTTCTCCCCTAATTTCCTAATGTGCAAACTTAGATTATTATTTTTAGATCTTTCTTCTTTGCTAGTGTGTGTTATAGTCAGCTTGGCATCGTAACACATGAGTCAGTGGACCCACAAAGAAGAGAGAAAGGTGTGTGGTGGCTCCCAGTGCTGGCAGGTCCAGTCCCTGGTCAGCAAGCCCTCTGGGGCCTCCAGCAGCACAGAGGGCGAGAGGGCTTCACCAGGTCGCACAGCTGAGCGGATCTGCTCGTCCCACAGCCAGGGCACACCCCAGTTCCCTGAAGACCTTCCTGAAGTCCCAGCCCTTGTCCCGCCACTCCCAGCAGTGCCTGGCTGAGGACCAAGTCTTGTCTGGGGTTTGGGGGATATGGATATTTAGGGTCTACTTGGTAGCATCAACTTCCTTTGAAGTTTCATATCTGTCTCAGTGCAGAATGCATTTATTCTGTCATCAAGTCCTCAGAGTCCTCCTGTTCCAGTATTGCTCAAAAGTCTCTAGTCCAGCTGGGCGTGGTGATGCGCGCCTGTAATCCCAGCACTTGGGAGGCTGAGGCAGGAGGATCGCCATGAGTTTGAGGCAGCCTGGGCTACATAGTTAGACCCTGTCTCCAAAAAAAAAAAGGTCCAAGTCCAGAGTGTCCTCTGCAACTGCAGGCAGACTCTTTCCCCTTGGTGTGATGGGGATCAAACCCATGGCCAAGCACTTGCTCTACCACCTAGCCTGGCCCAGCCCTAGAGTCCAGTCCAAGCTGTGAACCCTGTAGAGATCTGAGCCCGGGTCCCACACTTCTGAGGTGCAGTGCTGGGTGGTACCAGCTCACCCCATCCCAAGTGTGAGGCCCAGAACGACTGGAATCCACTGGGCAGTGTGGACCCTGGGCTGGGTGCACAGCTGGCCCTGGCCTGCGGTCTCTCTCTCAGCGGGCTGCATGGCCCACAGCCCTCTCTGGTAGGTTGCTTCTAGCTGCTCTCTGCTGCCCAGGTCTCCCCACTGCTCTGTGTGTCACCCCCAGGGGCTGCATGCTGGCCTCTGCCCTGTGGCTGCCTGACTTTGCCTTAACAGCCTGGGACCTAGGGCTGTGCCAGTGTGGCTGCCTCCAAGCTGCGGGGCTCTGTCTGGAGGTTCGTGGGGAGCAGTGTTCCGGGTTGTGCTGAAGAGTGGGGAGCCATGTGCTCTCCTCATGTGGCCAGTGGGTTGGGGTGGCTGGGGTGGCCTGTCAGACTCCCGAGGTTCCTCTGTCTTCCCTGCTGTCCCTGAAAGGCAACAGCATCCACTGTGTTCCCCAACAGGCTGGCAAAGTCCCTCGGGCCTGTTACTGCTTCTCCTGTCTCTAGTGTTTGCTTTTCAGCTGTGGGAGACCCCGCAGGGAAAACCCGGACATCTCCCTGCCTCATTGTTCCCCTCACGAGCCCGTCGGAGGTGCTTCTAACTTCGGTTCCGGTGTCCCTCACTCCTTTTGGCTCTTTCTGGGCTTTCCATCTCTGCTTACATTGCTCTTCTGCTGTCCTGTGTTGTGTTTGTCTGTTGGAGCCCTGGAAGGAAGAGAGGGGAGAAAGAGCTGGTGTGAGCGGAGTCGAGCTGTCGGCGTGGTGAGACAGAGTCGCACGGCTGTGCGTGTGGCTCTTCCCGAGCAGGCGGAGAGTGGTGCCGAGGGCTTGGTCACTCCCCTGTGGGGGATGGGCAGTGGGCAGGGGCTCTGTGACGGCTCGGTCTCTCCTCGGGGTTGGGCCACTGGTTTGTGTTGAGGAACAGGGGAGGAACCCGGCTGTACGGAAATCAGCCTAGTTAGTATCGTGTATGAACGGAGCGTATTGCTTGTCCTTCTGGTGCTGGGGGTAGAGCCCAGGGCCTCACACAGCTGTACCCTAGTCCTTTTCACCTTTTTATTTTGAGATGGAGTCTCGCTCCATTGCCCAGGCTGGGCTTCAGTATGCAATCCTTCTGCGTCAGCCTCCTGGGTAGTAGCGATTTCAGGTGCACCGCCCTAATCAGCTGAGAGAATATTCATGTGATATTGGGTGTGAATTTAAGAAAACATTACATGGGCTTGAGGTTGAGTTGTGTGTTGCTTTGTGGAAGCCACAGACACTGCCGTCTGGGGTGTGCTGGTGCGTGCAGGGCAGTCGTGCGGGCACTGGGGCGGGCGGGTTCCCCCTCAGCTGTCAGCAGCACTGATGTCTCTGTGTTGCAGGTGATCGAGTCCCTGGGCATCCTCATCTACAAGGCCCTGGACTATGGCCTGAAGGAGAGCGAGGAGCGCGAGCTAAGCCCGCCACTGGAGCAGCTCATCGACCTCATGGCCAACACGGCCGAGACTGACGGCAGCCACGATGAGGGCTACGGGGCGGCGGACGAGGGTGCTGAGGACGAGGATGAGGCCCAGCGGCGGCCCGGGGCCATCTTCTCCTACCGCGATGTCATGAAGGTATAGCAGGGCCTGTCATCTCAGCATTCGGGGAGGCTGAGGCAGGAGAGTGGCAAGTGGGAGCCCAGCCTGGGCAGCTCGGTGTCTCAGAGGTCTGGAGAGGTCTGGGCTGTGGCCCAGTGCACAGGCCCTGGGTTCAATCCCCAGTACCAGAAAAACAAAAGAAAAGCCCAGTAATAAAGAAAAAGTGTGGAATGGTGGTTTGGCATTTGGTGCAGACCCTCCTGGCCTCTTGCAGCTACCTCATGACTGCCTCCGGGTGGTCGGGTTACTGGCACTAGGACCCACATGTCACGCAAGGCCTCCGAGTCTGCGGCTGGCAGCGCCAGTGACCCTGCTTCCCGGGACTCTGGGCATGGGGCAACCCAGCTAGGCTGGGGCGTCTCTTGGCTGAGTCCTAAGTGTGAACTGAGCCACAGGGGCCCTGGGCTCCAGCCTCATCACCCCCAGGAAAGCCATGTAGGTGAAGGCTCCTCTGGCAGGCCTGACCCCACAGAGAGCCTGTGCAGACTCGTGGATGCTTGCTGCTTGGTGACAGTCCTGCCACACCACCGTCCTCCGGAGCCAGGAGTGTGGGGAGCCGGGAGGAGGACCCTGGGCTGCAGCAGTGAGCTGGGGCTTCCATTCTGCACATCCAGCACTGAGACACTGGCCCCGCAGGCACAGTGTCCCTGTACTTACAGACCAAAGTTTCCTGCTCTGTGCATTTCATGCTTCCTAGATGTTAAGTCTTGTTTTTTAAAAATATACACTGGGGAGGACATTGTGTGAGATGGAATGAGCCCTCCTGCTCCCTCCCCGTGGGCAGACGGGTGTTGGAGGCTGTGAGGAGGCCGTGTGGAGGGCTGCAAATGTGCAGGACACAAGCCACGCAGACACCCATGGTCCACGTGAAACAGGAGAAGGCAGAATCGTCTGTAAAGGAAGAACACACAAATATCGCCCGGGCACACCGAGGGCTCCGCACACCTACACCCCCTGTCCTGCAGAGACCTGCGATGCATGGGACGCTAGCAGGAGACGGAGGTCTCCTCCTGTCTCCCCCGGCTGAGGTGCAGAGTGGTCCCAGGGCGTTTCACCATTTGAATGGATGGACACCTTTTACTGTTTTTTAAGTTGAGCTATTATATTTGCCCTAACTTAATTGCCTTCATCATAAAAAAAAATACATTAAGAAAGTGCTTAGGAAAACTAAATAAATAATAAAAGAAACTAAGGTGTTTAACAAGACAGGTCTTACAGATTGGAGGAAATCTGCTAGCTTCAGCTCCGCTTTTAGCAATTTTATTTGGCCTCATTATAACCTCACCTCTCATTTCTTAGTTTCTATGCTAATCAGAACTGGCCTATAAAATTTCCCACATCTATGACAACATGCTCTGAATGTTCCTTCTAGGTAATGAGAGGGAAAATAACTGCTGAGGCATTTAACAGGTGCACTGGAATTTTAAAATGCAGAACCCATTACTCGTGGCACAGGAGACGCGTGTGTGCTTGTGGTTTGGTTACTGGGTCCAGAACTTGAGTGCGGAAATTGACTTCTTTGTTGGAAGAGAAGACGAGAATGATCTGAAGCACGTGGCTGCTTCCTTACAGTGGAAGGGGACGTGAAACTCAGCCTGAGTAGCATGGATGGCAGGTGGTGCTTTCCGCTGCTGTCAGCAGGGCCGCCGTGGCTGTCATAATGCTGCGGTCCCTGCCCTAACTCTCGGCTGCAGCACCGAGAAGCAGTGGTTCCAGGGTGGGGATAAATCCTGGCACAGGTTTATGTCCCTCCTGGACCTGTGCCCCCTGAATGAGAATGCAGTGCCTGTGGGGTGTTCCCTCCCACAGGAGGCCTGGGCTCCAAGGTGCACTGCAAGAAGAGCTAGTGTCCACGACTCCCTCCGTCTCTTTCCTGAGAGGTACCGGTCACCAAGCAAGGGTCTTTCCAGGAAACAGCCGGGAAAGGTCACACTTGTGTGGATGTCCTTCCTTCCCCTCCGTTCACTCATCCTTTTTCTTATGAAGACGTGAACGTCTCCACCGATGAGCAGAGCTGGAACGCAGTGCTCAGAGGCTCTGTGGCGCGCCCCGCGTCCTTACGGAAGCACCCTGTGGTGCCCACTGGTGTGTCTTTTTCACAGTTAGTCATTTATTTGTTTGTTTGTTTATTTTTGGTACCGGGGATTGAACTCCAGTCCTTGCACTTGCAAGGCAGGCCGCCGAACCGCTGAGCTAAATCCCCGGCCCTCACAGCTATTCATTTCTGTCGATTATTTTGTCTTCTGAGTTTGTGTTTGCAGCACACGATGATGACACTCATCTTGGGAGCCGCTACATGTGCACAGCATATCTTCATCCCTTTTCGTCCCCTTGCCTCCTCCTCCTCCATCTTTTCATCCCCTTCCCATTTGAGAAAGACCTATCTTCCTGTTATGTTTCTGTGCTTCTACTCTGGGTTCCTCATATAAGAGAACCCATGTGATATGTAAGCTTGTGTGTGTGATTTATTTTATGTAACATTCTGGCCTCAAGGTGCATCCATTTTCCTACAGATGACTCAAGTTCATCCTTCTTTGTGGCAGAGCAGTGCCCCATTGTTGTATAAACAGTGTCTTTATCCATCTGTTGATGTCCAAGAGTTGCAGTCGCGTGGGAATGTGTGGATCCCTGTCATTTGATGTCCTTAACTCTTTGGGGGAAGATATCCTAGCTGAGTCTGATAGAATTTCTAGTCAGTCTTCTGAGGAGTCTCACTCCTGATGACTATGGGGCGTGTACTAGCACACATTCCCACCAGCAGTGCAGCCTGCAGCCCCCAGTGTTTGTTATTACTTGGTTTCTCGGGGTGGCTGTTCTGGCTGGAGCGAGGTGGAGTCCTGTGCTGGTTCTCATTTGCACTTTTTGATGGATGACCAGCGATGTCACGTGTTTCTCCAGGTGTTCAGGCCACTTGGCTGCTGCTACTCAGGAGTATCTGTTCATTTCAGTTGCCCGTTTTTTGACGGAGTCTAAGAAAAATCACACTTACAATGATTTTGATACCCATGAATAAATCCCCACCGAAGTTCATTCTGTCAGCGTTAGGAAGACAGGAAGAAGAGGTGAGCAGAGGTGTGTGGAGAGGCAGGTACCAGCCACGCCGGACGAGGGAGGACGGAGGTGGCGGGTGCAGAGCTGAGCAGAGCTGCACCTCACAGCAGCCTGTGTTACGTTGGCCTGCGACAGCGACTCAGACAGATGTGGAGAGGCCCAAGAACAGCTTTCTGCTCTGAAAACTCAACTGAACGGAAAGGACTCTTGTCCAGCCTTTTCCTTGGGAGGGATTCAGGGTGACTGGATGCCTGGGGCAGATTCCCTTGTAAAACACCGGGTCGCTGGGTGGCGGGTTGTGACACGGAGTGCAGGCTCTGGGGCCTCTGTGTGGGACAGGGCAGTGCCGCCCTGGAGGCGTTCCTACACAACAGCAGTGAGACCCGGCTCGGGATGGACCCGCCAGGCCCTGAGACCTGGACTCGGGCGTAGCACCACCACAGCTGCAGCCAGCGGATTCTGTGCTCAGCGCGGTCCACTCTTCTGTTGGTGCATGTGGTGACATGGTTTGCTGAGCTTTGTTTTGGCAGATTTATACCTGCACATAACCAGTCCTTTCAACCCGTCAGTGCCTTGACCTGCACTCTCTGTAGTTTTGCACAAACCACCCAATTTCTTAAAGAAAAGGAAAAAAGACAGAAGAGAAAACCTATATTAAAAGTGCTCTTATTATCCCGGTGTGTGATGCGTGCCTCGGGAAGCTGAGGCAGGAGGATTGCCATGAGTTTGAGGCCAGGCCAGCCTGGTTACATATACTTCAAGGCCAGCCTGCACTGTATGGTGGGACCTTGTCTCAAAAGAAGGAAGGAAAGGGGAGGAAGAAAGGTTGGAAGGAAGGTGAGAAAGAAAGGGAGAGGGAGGGGGGGAGTAAAGAAAGAAGATCCAAAGAAATGCAAACAGCCATTAAAGCTAACAAGTGTTTTTTGGCAAAGATGTTCTTTGGGAGTATCCAGAAATTAACTTTGCAGAAAATCGCCATGACAGCAGTGTTTCCAAGGATTGCATTTCACAGCTTTTGGTGTGTTGAGATCAGTTGAGTACATAAACTTTGCTGGTGAAGCTTTCATGGGTGTGACCTGCATGTACACATGCGATGTGTGCGTAGATGTGCAAACTGGTTTCCTACTGTGAATTGCAGGTAAAATTCGAAAGCCTTTGCTGGATGCTGCTTTTCACCAAAGCCAGGGCCTGGGATTCTGGCTGGGCGGGAGGTTCCGTTCTTGGCCGGGGCCTCATTGCGTGGGACGACAGTGCTGTGCCAAAGGGGTTTTCTGGACACAGAAATACCTGAGTGAAAGCTGGGCTGTGTTCGCTGGTGGCTCCAAGTCACAGGCTTGTGAGAACTTTGATTTCCACACCTTGTGAAGTCAGCTGTGCTGTTCTGGGGCTGTGGAGGATGTCGCCTGCCTCCGCTGCTCTACCCAGTGTGTCCTGCAGAAGAAGTCTGACCGTGAGCTGCCTGCTGCAGAAAACAGCCCAAGCCCCGTTATGAAAACAGGATAAACTATAGATGGCTTTACTCTTTGGCTGATAGAAATGCTCAAAATAAAATAGAATAAAAAGTGTATGTTCAGTAATTGCACTAGTGCATGTTTATGTTATTGACTCAGGCCAGGTGTGTGTCTGACAGCGTTGCGTCCCAGCCCACGTCGCCCACTCCTTGGTGGGGCAGAGGACACTGTGGTCACGAGAGGTTGGGTGACTCTGCCTGGAGGGCAAAGCTGTAAACCCAGCCTGGGGCTCGGCAGGATGGGCAGGAAGATGGGTTACTGCCTGCCGGGTCTTGAGGACGTCTGCGTGCTCATGGGGGATGTGGTGCTGTGCGTTCTGCATGCTCTGCACAGGGTGAGTTGTGTCTCTCCCTGTGAGGCCGGTGTTCAGGGGCTGTACCAGCCAAGGACAGTGGCACTGTAGGCCATGCTTGGTTGTGCTGCTATCTGCCCTCCAGCCCCAGTCCACCCCTCTCTGCCCCGAGGTCCCCATGGATCAGAAGGAGCCCAATAGGACAGTGGCAGTCTTCTGCCTCATAGTGCCATGAGCCATGGCCAGGTCCCCCAGCTTCCCATCACGGTGATTTGTAGTCACATGTCCTTCTGCTATGCACAGGATGTCACATGCGGTGTGTGGCAGGGTGGCCACTCAGGCAGTGGTGGCCAGTCAGTCACCAAGGCTGTCATCCTCAGGAGACACTGGTCCCTCTCTGTCCCCACCCGCACTTGTGCTCATGTCCAGCCCTTCCAGAGGGAGACTCCTGTTGGCTCCCCTGTGCTCTCGGGTGTCTCTCAGTGGACAGCTTTTTCTGCATAGCTTTGTAGACTTCACTGATGGTCTGGTGCGCTGGGCGTGGGTGACGTAGACGGCCTTGCTGTCCAATATGAGGATACAGATGCACCGCTGTGTCTGGTGGGGTTTTGGATGTGCGTAGTGAGCTACGTGAGTTGCCCAAGCTGTGGTCAAACTTGAGGCCCTCCTGCTTCGGCCTCCCAGGGTTCTGAAATTACAGACATGCCCCACCATGCCCAGCTGAGTCTGTTTTTAAGTCACCAAAAACTCCAGATAATAACCATTTCTGGTACTTCATTCTCCTCTGTAGATGTGTGCCGCTCATCTCCCGGCCGAGTCGGAGGCAGCGAATCACTATCAGGCTGTGTGCCGCGCCCTGTTCGCGGAGACCATGGAGCTCCACACGTTTCTGACCAAGATCAAGAGTGCAAAGGAGGTGGGTGCTGCTGCTTGGCGGTCGCTGGCACTGGCGCTTGCCATCATTCTGATAGGCGCTGGAATCATTTGAGGAAGAAGCAGTCTGGGTGAAACGAATCTACGGTGTCGACTTTGTGAGACAAGATCTTCGCAAAGTTTTATTCCAAGTAGGAGATAAACACCCAGCACTGGTGAAGTCACTTCCCGTGGGACCTGCTTCCCACCCTCTCTGTGCCCCTCTGCTTCTGTGCATTCAGAACCTGGTGGTGCCCTTCCCTGAGGGTCTGGGGTGCAGGCAGGAGGGGCCTCACCCCCTCCTGCTCGTGGCAGATCAGATCTGATTGCGGCTTTAGTGGAGGAGCCAGGACTTAGCACTCTGGTCACCCAGCATCTCCCACAGTATTTTATTTATAGTTAACCCTAACCATGAAGTTAAAATACTATGTGTACAGTCCAGAGAGCCTGTTTCTGACTGATTTCAAAGGGGAGTCATGGTGTCTTAAATGGCACAGCTGTGCAGAGATCAGTAGGGGTTGGGTAAAACCACACTGAAGCCCAGAGCTAAGTGTGCACGTGGAAGGGCTTACCTCTTTTATGACAGGCAGAAGGCCACTTTGTACAAAGCTCTGGCCAAATGTGCCCTAACCCACAGTCAGGAAGAGATGTGGATCAGATGCATAAATGAGTAAAGGAGAACCAAGCTGTTTGCTGAGGGAGACTCGCCCAGCCCGGAAACCAGCAGGAGAGGGGTGGCTGGGCCACCGGCCGTGGCCACCCCATGTCGTCCCCGCGTGCCAGGTGTTTAGGCTTCCCTCCAGGGCCCTGCGGGGAGTGGCCCTGCAGTCTGGTGATGTCCTCTTAGGGAAGAGCCTGGCGCTCTGGCTGTGACCACAGGCTCAGGGCGGTACAGCACTGTGTTTCAAACAAACGAGTATTTTGGATGAAAAATTTCTGTTTAAAACCATTTCACTTTCATTTTGTAGAATAATTTGCAGTATTTATCTGGACACTTGATCCTTTTTTAAAGCCTCTTTACTGTTGGCAAATCGTGTCCTAGCCACGTCCTCGCATGGCTGAGTCAGACAGTGCTGGCTGGATGTGCAGCTCCTCATGGTAGGTGTGAGTCACGTTTCAGGGTGCTGCAGAGCCTGGAGACTCACAGGGCTGGGGTCCTTAGCTGGTGAGCCAGGCGTCACTGCCAGGTGGTCATGGAGACTACAACCGCCTGTGTCACAGTCCTGCGGTGGAAAAGCCCTATAAAGAAACATCCAGTCAGAGGTGCCAGTGACGACCGTGGGAGCATAGCTCTCGACCACAAGACACGAGACGGCCCTGCTGCTTGACCACAGAACGTTGTGAGGTGTGTCAGACAGACTTTCTTGATCTTTGGGAGGGTGAATTTTTTGAGACAAGGTCTCGCTATGTTGTTCAGGTCAGCCTCAAACTCAGGGCAATCCTGCCTCAGCCTTCTGAGTGCTGGGATTACAGGCTTGCACCACCATGACCAGCTTAGGGTAGATTTTAGCATCGTCATTTCTAAGGGCTTCTGTACACAGCAGGGTGAAAATCCCTTTTTGCACTTGCTGTCTCCTGGGTAGCCCTGAGCTGGGAGGGAGCCGGCGTGCATGGGGCAGCCAATCTGTCTGCTGTAGCTAAGTGGCTCAGGTTTCCCAGCGCAGCTCAGCAGGTTGGGCCCCGTTTCTGATTTCCCGATTGTGCGGTCTCTGCTCTCCTCCTGTGAGCTGCAGCTTCTTGTGGATAACTTTTTTTTTTTTTAATTTACAGTGCTGAGGATTGAACCCAGGAAGTACTGAACTACATCCGCAGTCCTTATTTTATTTTGAGACAGAGTCTTACTAGGTTGCCTGGTCTGACCCTGAACGAGGCAAGCTCCTGCCTCAGCCTCCGGAGGGGCTTACTGGCATGCACACTGTGCCCCGCCATTGCTGACACCATAACCTCCTCTTCTGGATTCCGTCTTCCACGCTCTTGCATCCTTTGCGCCTCAGCAGGGGAGGTGCTTGGGCTCCATTTGCATGGCAGCCTCTCTTCCCAGCGCCTACCCCCTCTCGCAGCTGTCGGCCGGGTGTCCTGTTGGCCTCTTGTCCCTTGATAGTGGCCTCTGGGCCATGGTCCTGTCCCCTGACCATGGCCAGAATAGCTGAACAAGACTACTGGCCACCCGGGGCTGGCTCTCCCAGTGTCTGGCCCTTGTCCCTGTGCTACATGGTCTCAAGTTGCCTCCCAGAACCCAAGGTGGACTCGGAGGAGGGTTGAGGTGGTGCCCCTGCCTCAGCCTCCTGAGAGGCTCCCTGTGAGTCCCAAGTGGAGGCTGGGAGCTGGACTGAGCCTCGACTCAGCCCAGCAGCATTGCTTTCTGGTCCTGCCCTGCTCCTGTGCAGGGCCACCCTTGCTTTCCACCGTGTCTTTTAGGAAAACTGAAGCAGACTTGTATAAACTCAGCATCCATGTGAAAGGAGGATCCTGGACTCTGCTTTCTGATTTTTAGAAATAGCCGGTAGCACTGCAGGCACTTGAGCCAGGAGGCTTGCGTGCAGGAGCAGCGGGATGCCGGCCCAGGGAGGGCCTGGCAGAACATGCTGGGCTGAGGACCAGGACCTGCGGCAAAGGGAGGTCACCTGCGTAAGGACCTAATGTGGCTGCTGCCGGTGGTGATGCAGTGATAGCAGCCACAGTGGGGACCGGCGACTGCTGTGTGTGGCTCGTGGTGGAGCTTGCCGTGTGTGCACAGGTCCTGTGTTTGATCCCCAGTACCAAAAAGAAGAAAAAGGCAACCCAGGCAAGGTAGTGACTTAGGGGCTTAGTGAGACCCTTACTCAAAATAAAACATTAAAGGAGATGGGGACGCAGCCCAGTGTGGGCGTGCTGGGTTAAGTTCCCCATACCCACCTGAGCCACATTTATTCCGTGCTTGTCCGTGCCGCTTTCTAGGCCATGCCGTCATGGACGTGGACCCATTGAGTCCTCACGATGGCTGTACGTGACGCGTCATTGCGGTTCCCTTTCCCTGGGATGCACAATGATGGGCTCCCCTCAGAGGACCTGGCCAGGCAAGGCGGCAGTCGAGGACCCCCACAGGACATCCAGCCCAGGGCAGCGAACACCTGTGACGGAGGCGTGACCTAGCGGAAGCCATGTGACGGCCGAGTTAGCGTGGTGGGGAGCAGGGGAGGGATGGCGACCCTGGAGGTGCTGTGCACGCAGCTGGACGTGCGCTTCCCGACCACCCGACCCCTAGGAGGAGGTTCAGTCTGCGGCTGGCTATGTCGCACGGAGCCACGCTGCTCACCTCAGGCTGCCAGGAGGCAGGGGCCAGAGGAGGGCTGGGCCAGGCACACCCCTGACCTCTCCCTGCCCTGTGCCCGCCCTAAGTCTCCGTCAGCTCCCAGCAGAGTCAGTTACAGTCTTGTCCGCACTGGACGGGGCGCCCCAACTGTCACATCCCCTAGGCCGCACCTGAACTCGGGGGACCCGCACAGCACAGTCCAGACTGAGCAGTGTTATCGGCCCTGGCCCAATGGCAGACAGACAAGCAAGGCGGAGAGCAAGGTCCTCCGTGGATGGGGTGACAGTGCTGGGACCTGATGCAGCAGGGCCCTTCCTGAGACCGGCGGTAGAGGAGCCAGTCGCTGGGGCCCTTTTCCTGTCTGCTCTCTGGTTCCGTGTCTGTGTAAGTCTATGGCAAGTTAGATGAAAAGTCAGAATGGCTTTGCTACCTCTGAGTACTCTTAAACGTGCACCTCAAGAAAGGGCCAGGAGCAGGTTGCGGTGTCTCCACCTCGCCCTGGGCCTGTCCTGAGGTGCTGCTGGCTCTGTCTTCCACCCGTCCCCCTCAGCAGACTCTGCACAGGGTGCTGGGGCGCGGAAGGCCGCAGAGTGCCCACTGGCACCCAGGGTGGGCCTTGGCCTGGCAGTGGCTGGGAAGTGGGGGCCCCGACTCTGCAGCGCCAATGGCTGGCCTGTGGGGTTATTTTCTTCTAATTTTTTTCTCTTTATTTTATCAGTGAGGATTATTTTAAACAACAGCACTGGCTTCGTCTGAGATGAGCTTATTAGGATCTTCACTTTTTTTGTGACCTGTGAGTTTTAAGATTCCATAATGGGAACATCTGTGAACCAGTAGGCTGTATCTGACTTTTTGTTCTACATTTTCTCTTTAAAATACTTGTATTTCTGTTGGACAAGTATGCCCATCGCTGCATTTTACTTAAAAGTTATAACCATTTAGCATTTCTAAAATTCTTAGTTTTACCCATTACTTTGCTTTCTTTTCAGCTGATTATTCGGTCACCCATTTGAATGAACAACTGTATAACGCTGATGGAATTTTGATCATTTCAGCAAAATGTATTAAGTATCTTTATTTTTTACATGAATGCTCGGGCTCGGGATTCGGTTTGAATTGCTGGTCACGCTCATTTATTATTCCCTCCCTATCTGCCTCCCTCATAAATGCCCAGTGTGTACTTCTAGGCCATAATTCTCTTCAGTGGAATGGCAGTGGTGTTGAATTAAATTTCTTTTTAAATACACAACACAGATTTTTTAACTTTTCCTATACTTTTGTCCTTACATATTTCAGTTACCATTTCTACCCAGTTATCATCACAGTGAGAAATTTTTATCCTGACTTACAATGTTTTAGTATTAGCCTTTGCTATTTAATGTGTAATTCTGCACAATTTGGGTTGAATTTTAAGAAAATACAATTATGAGGATACACATTTTTAAACTACTTATTTTGGTTTTAAATTTAAAAAGTATAAATTAGATTGTAACAATTTTATTATGAAAAACAATGTTAAATTATTCATCTTTGCCTTTTGTCATAGTGAGAAATAAATTGGATTTTTTTGTCTTTCATTTTTTTAAATTTTTTGAAGTTGTCCTATGGAAGGGAATGTATTTCCCCCTGCCAGTGTGGGTAAAGTTGTTTAAAAATAGATGAATCTAAATCTAGTGTCTGATATGCGGATGTTTAGACTATTCTCTTCCATGTGACCTTGTTCTAAAGCTCACCAGCCCAAGTCTCATCCTAAATTTAATAAAATCCTAGGATGAGGGGGCGACTTCCACATGCAGGTTAGAGGCAGTTTGCCTTCTGCTGTAATATTTTACCAGGTACTGAAAGTATGTAGTAAGGAGATGGAGTAAAAATAAGCATGGCTTGCTAGGAATTTTTCAGAGATCATATTGAGTATATTTTAGGCTGTTTAACTACAGTAACCACAGGGAAACTTTATTAAGTGACTTACATCATTTCAGTTAGTCTCGTGCAAGAAATCACAACTTGAGAGGGAGCTCTTTGAGATCTGTTTGTCTTAAACCAATGCTGAAGTCTCTCAGCTTAGTGGAACGCTCCGTCTGTGTGACTGGCCTCATGTGCAGTGTATAACCAGCCCCCACTCCAGTACCTCCAGAGACACAGCTGTGCCATTAGGTGGCCTGGACATTTCTCCAGACCTACGGTGGGTTTGTGTCCCCCAAGTGGTGACAGAACCCACCGCCAGATGTCTGGTGCAGCTGCCATTCATTGGAGTAATTAGATTACCCCCACTGGAACTCTCGAGTCTCTCCTGCCTGCCTGTCTCTTCTGTTTGGCCTTTATTTTGGTTGTGACTACATGCGGCACGCTTGCTCGCGGGCAGAATCACAGCCTCTGTCCCAGGTGTCACTGCCCTTCGCACCACAGTCCCTGTTCATTTCCCAAGGGCACTTTACAGAATGGATGTGGGAGGGCTCTCCTCAGACTGCCCGGGGCGGAGACAGACAAACCGCGTCCTTAAAGTTCAAGGGTGATAACGAAACTCAGGGCACTCGTGTGAGCAGACAGGACTTCAGACGCTTCTGCCTGTCTGAGGTACTTTGATGTGGAGAGGGGATCTGATTTGTTTCTCAGGAAGCCAGGAGCTGGACTGCTGGCTGGGTGGCTCCCTCCAACACCAGCTCGCTGCCTGTGGCCTCCCAGTCAGAGCCCCCCACCACTGCCCAGCTGGTGTCTGCTGCTACATTTGTGCAAGCAAAAAGAAAAAACTTCACCAGAAGCTAAAATAGAATTGACAGTTTATCTCCAAAACCAGAAAAATCTGTAATTTGCTTTTAAATAGCGCATTTTCTTTTTCTGTTAACAAAAACCCCTGAACTTTCTAGTCACATAGTCAATCCAGCTTGTTCAGTTCTGGTATTTATAGATTTGCAACTATTCTACATTGATTTGTTGCTGAGTTAGGATTTGATTTCATGATGACACTAGACATTTGCTAAAAGCAGATGCATTAAGATTAAAACATTTTGTGTTGGAGTAAAAGTGCTCCCAGCCAGATCCTCATGGGTGTTCATTGTGTATGGCATCTCAGTCTACTAAATCTCAATGCGAGCTGGCCCTGCTCCATTCGGTGTTATTTTATGTAAAGGTAGCTACTCCTCTCTGCACCCTACAGATGAGAAAGTCGGTGGAGGACTAGAGCAGCCCAGAACCACACTGCTGGGAAGTACCCGAGACCCGGTGTGTGCTGCTTTTCAGAAAAATATAGAAAGAGGACATTCTTGGACCATCCCTTTAAATTATCCTCACTACTATGAGGAACAGACAGCTCCCTCGGCAGCAGGGAGTGGGGATTTGATCCCAGCATTAGGGAAGGCAGAGATGTGTAAAGGCTGTGTGCAACCCAGCTGTGTTTGAGAATAGCAAAAATTAAGATCAAAGGGAAAAGGGCCGTGTTGTGGTGGCTTGGAAGCAAGAGAGTCTGGATTGAATCTCTGTTGCTGTTCGTGCTGTTCAGGACCATGAGACATCCATGTGGAAGTGTGAACACATATTTCTGAGCTTATGCTGATAAATTAAATCATGGCTTTGAGTTACAAATGACAGACTCATCAGAGTAGCATGGGAAGAGGAGGCGAAGGGGTTTTGGCCCATATGCCTGGAAGTCCAAGGACACTGCTGCCACTCGGACCTCTGCCGCACCCAGGACAGGGCCCCCACAGTCTGCAGCCCCACTGGAAATCTCTTCTGCAGATGAGGGCCAAGGGCATGGCGTCCTTACGCTGGGGAGTCGGGAGGTTCTTGAGCCATGCGACAAGTCACCGAGAGAACACACATCTGTGTCACGTGAGGGGAAGGTTTGTCAGCCAGGGCAGCTGACCCCAAAGCCTGTTGGGTGCCGGGAGGCCGTTGGAATCGTTTGCAACATTATAAACTTCCAAACATGAGTGTTTTCTCCGTGTCCAGCCTTCTCGTGACTTTGTTTTCTGAGTGGCGGGGAACCTGTAGAGCTGCCTGTGGGGTGAGCTGCTGCTTAGGTGATGGGCACCCATGGCAGAGAGGCGTGGGGGGACCTGGCCTGCCCCGCCCCACAAATGGCAGCTGCGGACTTGTCCAGCTCTGTGGTTACTTCATTTCCTCTCTAGGGCATTCGGGATACATTTCTCTTCCCTTTTAACTGTATTTAATCATTTTGCTACCTGTTGGTTGATTGTCCCACTTAACTGTTGGCTTGGCGGTGAGCAGGGCTGGGTGTTTTCCTACCTGGAGAGCTGTATTGCCGTGTGGCACAGATATGGTCTCCCCTCAACTGCCCAGAGGATTCAGAATTTAAAGAAGATGCAGGTTTCCGTCTGAATGATTTTCCCTCTGGTTGCGCTTCCTCTTAGGAAAGATCTGTTGAAGAGATCTGGGCATTAAGCACTCGTGGTGAAGGGGTCCTTGTTCGCTTACTGGCCGGGTGCAGTCACGGGGAGGCCTCTCTTGGAGACGTGGGTGCCATCCTGGGAAATGGGCACACAGGGGCTTGTCCTGTTGGGGGGCGGCAGCCGTGCCTGTGCAGAATGAGCAGGGCACTCGGATGCAGAGTGCGGCGTGCTCTGGGGCAGTGTGGAGACAGGAGTCGCTGGTGGCAGGGGTAGGTGGCAAGTGGGGGATAGGTCGCCCTGCCAGGTGACATTTGGGCATCGGCTCGTGGTGTCTGAGGCCACCCCTGAGCCCCAGCCCTCCAGGCCTGGAGTGCTACCCTCTAAGCCACTGTGCTTGCGGGTGCAGCTTGGGCCACGCGTCTGCCCCCGACGTGGTCCCCGCTCAGCTCTGAGTCTGGCACTTCGTGGGGATGGACACTGGGGATGGCAGCCACCGTCACCAGAGGTTTTAGAAAGACGCCTCGTCCCTAGCGTAGGCAGGGATTTGGACTCGGAAATCGTGTGCATCGTTGTGGTGGGAGATGGTGAGCCCTGGCAAGGTGGCCCCACAGGCATGTCTGGGAGTAGCCTGGGCCAGGGTTCGGTACCACCGCCTGCAGTGTCCTCTCGGGTGTGTATCAGAGACCCTAGAAAGCTCACGTGAGAGACATGAAGTAGACGCTGTCCCGCTGCCCTCAGGGTACTGAGCCCTGGGGGCAGGTTCTTCACCCCACCTGGTGTCCTCAGCCTCCCTGCCCCTGCAGGAGCCCCAGCTGCCATGAGGTGGGCTGTGGTTGGTTAAATAGTGGTGGCTTAGCCTGGTGAGGGCTACTGCCACCCGCCCCACTGTGGGCAGGACCAGTGTCGAGCACTGAGCCAGCGCCTGTGCATGGAGGGAACTGGGTCTTCGGCCTCCGGCCCATGCAGGGCTCTGCTGTGCTGGGTTACATCTGAGTGCTGATGTGTTCTGTGCTGTGGTGAACAACCTCTCACACATAGGAGAGGAAGGGGCTCTCCTGGGAGCCTCCCTGTGCGAGCTTCCTGGCACCTCAGGGCCTTCACGACACAGGTTTCCCTTCCATGCCCACAGTGCAGCAGTGCACAGTGCTCCTCCCTCAGCGGTGGACAGTGGCCCCAGCGGGCCACTGCAGGAGCTCAGTTTCTCCCTTTTTTTTTTCACTGAGTTTATTGGTACTTTTTAGGTATACAGTACAGTTACATTCATCATTGGGATCTTGTACCTTTACATGATGTATCTTGGTTCTTGTTTTTTCCCTATTCCCTAGCCCTCCCTTCACCGCCTCCACCCTTCCCTGTTTACAAAGACTTTGTTTCCATTTTTCTCATATTTTTTCTTTTCCCTTCTTTCCTTTCCCCTACCCCTCCCACTTGCTGTACTCTTTTAGCCCCTTTCTTCCTATTTCACATTATCGACTATATAGCTTGAACCTTATTTACCTTTTAGTTTTTCACACCACAGAAGTTATTTGGTATTTACACGCGTGTCCTATTTATTTCATTAAGAGTATGGCCTCAATGTACATCCATTTAGCTATAAATGACTCGAGTTTCTCATTCTTTATGGGTGACTAGTACTCCATTTTATAGAAAAAACACATCTTCTTTATCCAGTCTCCAGTTGATGGGCATATGGGCTGTTTCCAAGTTTTTTTTAGCTATTACAAACTGTGCCACTACAAACATGGGTGCACATATATCACTGTGGTATGATTTTAATTCTTTTGGAAAGATACCTAGCAGAGGGATAGCTGGGTCAAATGGGACCTTTAATCCTAGTTTTTGAAGTATCTCTGTATTGGTTTCTACAGTGGTTGCACCAGTCTGCACTCCCACCAACAATGGAAAAAGGTTCCTTTCTCTCCACAACCCTGCCAGCATTTGTTATTGGTGCTCTTGATAGCAGCCATTCTTTCTGGGGTGAGGTGGAATCTTGGTGTTTTCATCTGCATCTCTCGAATGACCAGTGATGTTGAACATTTTTTAATATATTTATTTGCTGCTTTTACTTGTTTGTCTGAGAAATGCCTGTTCATTTCAGGTGCCCATTTTTGAATTGGGTCTTTCTATTTGGGGGGGTCTGTTTTTGTTTTTGTTTTTAGTTCTTTATTCTAGATAGTAGACCTTTGAGGAATATCAGGTAAATTTTTTTCTCACATTGTAGGTTGTCTCTTTGCTCTGTTGGGTGGTTTCTCTTGCAGGACAGAGCTTTTTAATAAGATGAGATCCCAGTTGTTGATTCTTTGTGCTAGTTCCCGTGCTACTGAGGATTTGTTCATGAAGTCTTTTTTTTTCCTCTTGCAGTGCAGAAGCTTTTTAATAAGATGAGATCTCAGTTGTTGATTCTTTCTGCTAGTTCTGTGCTACTGAGGATTCATAAAGTCTTTTCCGATGCCAGTGTCTTCAAGAGTTCTGCCTAACTTATCTCCCAGCAACTTTAGTGTTTCTGTTTTAATATTTAGATCTTTAATCCACTTGGGTTTTAGTTTAGTGCATGGTGAAAGATAGGGGTCTAGTTTTAATCTTCGGCAAGGTGAAATCCAGTTTTTCCAACACAATTTATTAAGGAGGCTATCTTTCCTCCAGTGAGGATGGTTGTCTCCTTTGTCAAAGATGAGGTAGCTGAGTACATCTGAGTTGTTTCTGTATCTTCTGATAGATTCCACTGATCCTGGGGTCTGTTTCTTTGCCAGTAGCATGCTGTTTTTATCACAGTGGCTTTGTAGTATGGTTTCAAGTTGGGGACTGTGATACCCCGTCATGTCTCTGTTGCCTAGAATGACTTTTGCTATTCTAAATCTATTCTGATTCCAAATGAATTTTTTGATTGTTTTCTCTAGTTCTGTGAAACATACTGCTGGGATTTCAATCAGGATTGCATTGAATCTGTATAGCATTTGCACTATGTTGGTTCTTCCTACCCAGGAGCAAGGGATGTCTTTCCATTTTCTTATATCCTCTTCGATCTCTTTTTCCAAAGTGCTATAGTTTTAGTGTAGAGGTCATTTTCTTCCTTGACTGATTCCTAGATATTTCATTTTCTTGGATGCTATTGTTTCCCTAATTTCTCTCTCAGTCTGTTATTTGTGTACAAGAAGGCTATTGATTTTTTTAGTGTTGACCATATATCCAGCTACACTACCTGAACCTGTCAATTAAGTCTAGAAAACTTTTGGCAGAGTTTTTTGGGTCTTCTGTGTACAGTATCATATCGTCAGCAGATAATGACAGTTTAACTTCTTCCTTTCCTATCTTGATTACTTTTATTTCTTTCTCTTGTCTAATTGCTGTGGCTAATGTTTCCAGAACTGTATTGAACAGGTGTGGTGATAGTGGCCATCTTTGTTTTGTTCGTGATTTTAGCATGAAGGTTTTCAGTTTTTTGACCATTTTAGTATGATGTTGACTATTGGTTTTTCACAGATTGCCTTTATCAAGTTGAGATAAAGACCCATCTATTCCAATTTTCTACAGAGTTTTTATCATGAATGGGTGTTGAATTTTGTTGAATGCTTTTTCGGCATCTACTGAGATGAACATATGGATTTTGTCTTTCACTCTGTTAATATAGTGTATTACATTTATTGATTTACCTATGTTGAACCATCCTTTCATCCCTGGAATAAATCCAACTTGGTCAGGGTGTATGGTCTTCTTAATGACCCTCTATATTCACTTTGTCATTATCATATTGAGGATTTTTTGCATCTGTGTTCATTAGGGATATTGGCTTGTAGATCTCTTTTTTTGGTTTGGTCTTTCCCTGGTTTTGGAATCAAAGTAACACTTGTTTCCAGGAATGAATTTGGAAGTATGCAAAGAGTAGTGGCCATAGTTCTCTAAATGTTTTGTAGAATTCAGCAGTGAAGCCATCAGGACCTGGGCTTTTCTTTGTTGGTAAAATTTTAATTACATTTTCAGTTTCACTGATTGTAATTGAAATGTTTAGAATTTTTGTATCTTCTTCATTCAACTTTGGTAATTCATATGTATCTAGAAATCTGCCCGTTTCTTCTGTGTTTTCCATTTTATTAGAGTACAGGTTCTCAAAGTAGGTATTGATGATCCTCTGGATTTTTGCTGGCTCTGTTGTGACTTCATCTTTTTTGTTCCTAATTGCGTGGATTTAAGCTTTTTCTTTCCTTTTTTTGATAAGGTTAGCTAAGGGTTTATTGATTTTTTTATTCTTTCAAAGAATTAGCTCTTTAATTCATTGATTTTTTTTTTAATCCTTCTCTTAGTCTCCATTGCATTGATTTCTGCTCTGATCTTTATAATTTCCTCTCTTGTACAAGCTTTGGGTTTGTCTTTCTCTTCTTTTTCTAGGAGTCTAAGATTCATCATTAGGTTGTTTATTTGAGCTCACTCTGTTTTCCTAATGTGGACATTCACTGCTATAAATTTCCCACATAAAATGCTTTCATTGTATCCCATAGATTTCTATATGTTGTACTGGCATTGTCATTAAATTGTAAAAACTGTCTAATCTCTTCTTTAATTTCTGCTGTGACCCAGTGGTTGTTCAGGAGTGTTGTTCAATTTCCATGTGTTTGTGAAGTTCTTGTGGTTTCTTATGCTATTGATCTCCAGTTTAATTGCACTATGGTCTGATAATATACATGGGATAACTTCAGTTCCTTTGCATTTACTTATATTCTATGAGCTAGTATATGGCCTCTTTTGGAGAATGACCTGTGTGCAGCTGAAAAAAATTCTGAGGTTCCACTGCTTGCCTTGCAAGCACAAGTTCCCAAGTTCAATCCCCAGTACCCAAAAAAAAAATTTAAATGTGTGTGTGTGTGTG